ATGAAAATTTGAAGAATGCAAACTGGTTGTTTTGTAGACCGGCCCCGCACTGAGCTTTTCCGGCGCTTCTGCGTGAACAGACGGGCACGGGAGCCAGGCATCCTTCCCGGAGCACGGGACGCTGGCCGCCCACCAGCGGCAATGGTACTTTTGATCCGCTAGTTAAACCGCCACCCACAACTTTCTAGCAGCAAAGTTACCACTATTCCCTTTGTAATTGATAAGTAGGCCAGGTGCGGTGGCTCATGCCTGTAGCCTGTAGTTCTAGCTACTCAGGAGGCTGAGGGAGGAGGATTGCTTGAGCCCAGGAGTTGGAGGGTTGAGGTTGCAGGCATGAGCACACCAGTGCACTTAAACCCGGGCAGAAGAGCCAGACCCTGTCTCACATGTATCCACAGACTCTCGTCACCCTGTTGTGCTGTCAAACACTAGCTCTCATTCCTTCTCCCTCTGTGTATGAGACAACCCTCGCCTTAAAGAACTGAAGTACAATTGGATTGTTTGTAACATAAAGAGAGGATGGGCCTGCATTTACCTTGATGCGATTATTACACATCGTATGACTGTGTGGATGTGTCTCATGTACCCAACAAATAGATACACCTACTATGTACCCATGAAAACTAAATTTAAATTTAAAAAAAAGAAATGGCCCGGCGCTGGATAGCTATAACTTAACTTAGAATAACTTTCATTTACTTCTTTCTTTTTATTTTACTTTGAGACGGGGTCGAGCTCTGTTGCCCGAGCTGGAGCGCCGTGGTGTGATAACCACAGCTTCACTCTCCCAGGCTCAAGCCATCCCCTCACTTCGGCCTCCCGAGTAGCTGGGACCAAGGTAGGTGCCGCCCACACCAGCTAATTTTTCATTTCCTTTTTTTTTTTTTTAAGAGATGGAATCTCTGGGTCCCCTTATGTTGCCCAGGCTGGTCTCAAACTCTTGGGCTCAAGCAATCCTCCTGCCTTGGCCTCCTAAAGTATCAACTAACTTTTAAGTTTGCAGATTACCAAAAAGGTTTGGGAAACTGTTTTTAAGTAGACATAATTTATAAAACAATTATTGTTTAAAAGTTCATTTATACCAGGCATGGTGGCTCATGCCTGTGACCCCAACACTTTGGGAGTCAAGGATAGGAGGATCACTTGAGCCGAGGAGTGGGAGGCTGCAGTGAGCTAGGACCAGACCACTGCACTCGAGCTGAGCCTGGGGGGTGGAGCCAGACTCTGTCTCTAAAAAGTAAAAATTAAACATTTTAGTTTAGGCTGGACGCAATGACTCACACCTGTAATCCCGGTACTTTGGGAGGCCAAGACAGGCAAATCACCTGAGGTCAGGAGTTCAAGACCAGCCTGGCCAACATGGCAAAACTTTGTCTCTACTAAAACATTAAAATTAGCTGGGTGTGGTAGCAGGTGCCTGTAATCCCAGCTACTCAGGAGGCTGAGGCAGGAGAATCACTTGAACCCAGGAGGTGGAGGTTGCAGCGAGCCGAGATCACATCACTATACTCCACCCTGAGTGACAGAAAAAAAAAAAAAAATTAGAAATGTATTTATAAACTCTTACAGCATTCATATTCACCTAATTCACTTGCTCATAACAATTGTCCTTGAACTGCTCATGAAAATTTCATGAGACATTAAGCAAAACTATCCATCATTATAAATTATTTTTCTTGGGTGACTGCAAATGTCAAAAACATCACAGAAGCAAAGAAACTAAAAAGATAGGCTGGGCATGGTGGCTCACACCTGTAATCCCAGCACTTTGGGAGGCCAAGGCTGGCGGATCACAAGGTCAGGAGTTCGAGACCAGCCTGGTCAACATGGTGAGGCACCCCCCCCACCCCACCGCCACTGCCTTCTCTACAACAAATACAAAAAGTAGCCAGGTGTGGTGACACGTGCCTGTAATCCCAGCTACTTGGGAGGCTGAGGCAGGAGAATCGCTTGAACCAGGAAGGTAGAGGTTGCAGTGAGCCGAGATCACATCACTGCACTCCAGTGTGGGCGACAGAGCAAGATTCTGTCTCAAAAAAAAAAAAAAGAAAGAAACCAACTAAGAAGATAAACATGGTAATCTCTCTCCTCTCTCCCCTCTGCTGCTCCTCTTCCCTGTCTTCCTTCCACAGCTAACCTGCATCAGCAATTCCTTCTTACTGTGCATTCTGCTCTCCGTTTGGATTTACAGTTTCATGATCTTAAAGATTTAGTGGATATAATATAAACTTGTTTTGCTACTAAACCCAGACCAAAAAAAATTTACATCTGGATTGTCTTTAATGCTCAGAATTCTGAAGCCGTTCATTTTTTAATTTTATCAACATTTTTAAAACTAGTTTTATTTACCAAAGATTATCCCAGGTCACATAAACTTATTTTAAAAATTTGGCTTAGTTTCTATATTTCTCAGATTTTTAGGAATATTTTGTTTACATAAGTCCTTGTTTATCTCTAAGCCAATCTGAATTTAACTTTTTAAAGACATTTTATAATTTGGTAATACCATCTGAGGATAGGAAGCCATCCTGACGATATAATACAAAAACATATACACATAAAGGACACATGAGCAGATACAAACAGATCTCACAGCTGTTGTTTTAGAACTTTTATTCTCCACTCAGTAAAACACAGGTGTCTCTTCAGCGTTTTTTATTTTTTGAGACAGGCTCTCACTCTGCTGTCCAGGCTGGAGCGCGGTGGTGTCATCACAGCTCAGTGCGGCCTCGACCTCCTGCCTCAGCCTCAGGAGGAGCCGGGACCACGGCTGGTAAAGATGAGGCCGGTCTTGTCGCCCAGGCTGATCTTTCCTCATGTTTCTCCCCAAGGTGTGTTTCTTTTCTTTTTCTTTAAGGGACGGGGTTTCACCATATTGGTCAGGCTGGTCTCGAACTCCTGACCTCATGTGATCCGCCCGCCTCAGCCTCCCGAAGTGCTGGGAGGACAGGCGTGAGCCACCGCGCCCGGCTCCGAGCTGTGTTTCTAGCCAAAACGGGACGAGTTCCGACGCCTCACCCAGAGGACGAACGCCTTTGACTCCTGCTTGCGGAAGAGACTTTTAAACTCTTTTATTTGCCCCATTTTCAAAACGGTTTTCCTTTTCTCTCCCCCTGAGGACAATCATCGCCTTGAAACTTGTATTTTCAAACAGATGACTCGGGTGTCAGCAGAGACGAGGTGGCAACTCCACGTCCCGGGGGCAGAGAAGCAGCGCTTCGAAGGCGTCTGAGCACGTGCCTGCCCGAGGTCAGAGGTCAGCCTTCGGAGGCCGCGGACTCACAGCCGGGACTCCGCTTCCGGGAGCCCGTTTCCGGGAGCCCGTTTCCGGAACTCCGTTTCGGGGACTCCGCTTCCGGGAGCCCGTTTCCGGGAGCCCGTTTCCGGAACTCCGTTTCGGGGACTCCGTTTCCGGGAGCCCGTTTCCGGCCGGGGGGAGCCCCAGGCGCCGCCGTCCCGCTCAGCGTTCCCAGCCCCGGCAGTTGCGCTGCGGACCGAGAGCCCCTCCGGAGCGGGACGGCCTGGAGTCCCCGTGCCCGGGGCTGGCGCGGGCAGGAGGGTCCGGTGCGGCGGGCGCGGGGGCAGGAGCGAGGCCTCGCGGGGCCGACAAAGGCGGGAGGCGCGGCCGTCGGAAGGTCCCGCGGGGAGCAGGCCGGGCTTGGGGAGCCGACGCCCGCGGACCGCGGGGAGAGCCTTCCGGACCGAGACTCCCGCGGAGGAGCCGCAGAGGCCCGGCCGCCGCAACCCCCGCCCCGGGAGGAGGCTTCCGCCCAGAAGCCCACAGCTGCCGGGGCAGCCTCGTGAGACCCCGTCTCTGTGTTAGAAGAGCGTGAGGCCTTCAGCGACGAGGCTGGCCGCGGTGGCCCACGCCTGAGTTCCGGCTTTGGGAGGCCGAGGCGGGTGGATCATTGGAGGTCAGGAGTTGGAGACCAGCCTGGCCAACGTGGTGAGAAACCCCGTCTCTACTAAACATACAAAAATCAGCCAGGCCTGGTGGTGGGCACCTGTCATCCCAGCTGCTGGGGAGGCTGAGGCAGGAGGATCGCTTGAACTCTGGAGGCGGAGGCTGCCGTGAGCCGAGGTCACACGACTGCACTCCGGCCGGGGCGACACACCGAGACCGCGTCTCCAAACACACAAACAAGCGATGATGGCATGCGTGTCCGGCTGTCGGTTTCTCGTCAAGCCAACTTTTGACCAGAAAACTCAAAAAAAAAATCCTTGCAAATATCCTCTTACCACATTTCTGCTGGAACACGGTAAAAATTCTTCTTGGCAGTATTGAACTTTTTTGTTCTTATCTTAAACCAAAAAGACTTTCAAGTGACTCAGAACCAAAACCAATAAGCTTTTTATGACTTAACCATGGATGAAAGAGACACCTTCAAAAGCGGGTGCAAAGGAGGCAGCCCCCCAGCCCGGAACCACCCCACAGACAGCAGAGAAAGGCCTTTGTCAGCACAGGAGCGAGGGGGCTGTCCAGCACTGACCCAGTGGCAGAGCAGGTGGCAAAAGCCCTTGTGGGCGGGAAACCTCTCTTTACAAACCCCCTAGGAGCTGGCACGTCCGGCAGTGATGCTCAGGCTGGCGGAGGCCAGGGAGAGCGTTCTCACCCTTCGTAAAGCCGGGCTCTCAGAACATGAGCCCAACAGGAGAAGAGCAGCTGCCCTGGGAGGAAAGGATCCATGTGTATCAAAACCAAATTTACACGAGAGTCACAACCCACAGGAATGCCTTCCTCCTGCCACGCTGAACTGGGAAAAGCAGGACAAGAGTGTTTGCCTCCCACCCTCAACTGGGCACTGCAGACAGACACCCAGAGAGCGGCTGCGGTCAGAATCCCCTCTGACCTCCGCTGGCTTCAGGTCAGTCTCCGGCATCTCATCTGTGGGCTCGGAGCAGGCTGCCTGTCGGCAGCTGAGACCCAAGGCACACGCGACAGGTTAAGGAGAGAATCACACCCGTGTACAGGACACACATTCCACGCCTCACAGGACAGGTTAACGAGAGCAGCACGCTCGTGGACAGGACGCAGGCACTGCTCATCTGCGAAGCTTTCCTGCACCCATCACCTCAGTAACCCCTAGGGCAGCGTGTGGGCCTTGACCCCAGGTCCAGGGCAGTGGCCCAGGCCCCTCCTCGGCAGGACCTGGCCGTGCCCTCCACAGCAGCTCAGGTGGGGTTCTCATAGCTCGTGAAGCTGGAGAGCCTCTCCCGAAGGGCCTTGAAGCAGGGTCTCTGCTCAGGGTCCCTGCACCAGCAGGTCAGCATCAGCTTGCCCACACTGGGCGGGCACGCCGGGGGGCAGGGCATTCGGTAGCCGGCATCCACCCTCAGGAAGGCCTCATGGTTGGACATGCCTGCAGCCGACAGGAATGAGAAGAGCTGGGGCCAAGCTGCCCATCCTTCCCAAGGATCCGCACCAGCCACCCCCTGCCCCTCCCTGGAACGCTGCCTGCTGCTAACACCTCCCGCCAGATGGGGCTCCATCGGGCAGCTCCAGGCTCCGGCCTGGGTGCTTCGAGAACGGTGCAGGTGTGGAGCTCAGGCACCGGCCTATGGCAGAGGCCCCTGCAGCCCTCATGGGAAGCCCCTCCCACCGTCCCTGTGGCCGCCCAGGACCGTCCCCACTCTCCCCCAACACCCAGGCAGGGGCACTGGAGGCAGTACCTGGGTAGGGCACCTGGCCCCTGCTGAAAATCTCATGCAGGAGAATCCCGAAGGACCAGACGTCAGACTTGCTGGAGTAAAGGCCTCGGGAGAGCGCTTCGGGGGCCGTCCACTTGTAGGGGACGTTGTGGTTGTGGGACAGGTACACGTCCTCCTGCGACCAGGCCGGCACTGAGTGGGCCTCGGGGGCCACCTCTGCCCTGCCCCCATGACACGGACGCGCACAGCGGCCGCACTGCAGTGGGACCGTGATGACCCCGCTGTCGGACCCACGCACGGGGCATCGGCCGCTGTGGCTAAGCTCGCGCTGGGGCCTGAGCGCCTTCAGGAGCCCCTGGGATTCCAGGTGCTTGGGGATGGGAGGGCACAGGAACCGGAAGGCTCCTGGGCTGGGCCAGTGAACGAGGCACGTGAACAAGGCAGCGGCTGCATAGTGGGCCCAGCTGTGTGCTCCTTTGGGAATGGGGACGCCCCCCAGCTTGCTGCGGCTTCCCGCCTCCCTGCTCAGCCCGGGCTCCCGAGGGCAGGGGCCGAATCCTGTGTCTGGCTGAGTCCCCAGCTCCACACAGGAAGCCCTGAGCCCTCCGAGGGCCCTACCTTGATGAGCCTGGCTAGCCCAAAGTCCCCGACTTTGCAGAGGGTGTTTTCCCCGACGAGGATGTTCCTGGCGGCCAGGTCCCGGTGGATGTAATTCTGCGACTCCAGGTAACACATGCCCTCAGCCACCTGCCACGCGATGTCCAGCAGCTCCGAGACGGGCAGGGCTTTCTCATCAGAGTCTGCAGAGGGGAGTGGAGCCCGGGGTCAGCCAAGCCCACGGCGGTGAGGACGGGCTGGAGGCCAGGCCACGTCCCATCTGCCTCCAGGCTCTGCGGGCTCTGAGGACGGGCTGGGCCAAAGGGCAGAGCTGGCCTGATTTGAAATTAACCTGGGGCCAGCCACCGCCCTCCTGGAAGGCGACTGTGAATGGAGAACCAAGAAGCAGTTCCTGGTGCTCCAGCCCAGCAGGTCCCTTGGGGAGGTTTGTGATGGCAGCGGAGAAGCTGGTACACGGGAGGCCGAGCGAGGAGGCGATGTGCGCAGCGGGGACTCGGGAGAACCGCTGCGTGGCAGCAGCGTGCGGTGCTGTTTCTGGAGAGCCCTGCCTGGCACGGGGACTGGGACGATGCAGCCCTCTGTGTGAGGACAGGGGTCCGGAGCTCAGGTGTGAGCGGTGTGTCAGTGCCGCACACGGCTTTTCCTGCCCCACCACGTCCCCTCCCGTGGGACCGCCCAAGGCCAAACGGCTTCTTCACACGGGGCCTCTCTTCCTGGAGCCAGTGTCCTTGGTTTTGGTGATTTTTAAAAAATGGAAAGAAAAATAATAACAACAAAGAAAGAAAAATAATGGAACTTAGAGACAATGACATCCCTGAGCCAGTGTGATTCGTGTGTGTCCGTGTGTCCATGTGTGTCTGTATGTGTCTACGTGTGCACGTGTGTGTGTCTGTGTGTGCGTGTGTGTCCGTGTGTCTGTGTGTGCGTGTGTCTGTGTGTGCATGTGTCTGTGTGTGCGTGTGTCTGTGTGCGTCTGTGTGTGCGTGTCTGTGTGTGCATGTGTGTGTCTGTGTGTCCGTGAGTGTGCGTGCGTGTGTGTGTCTGTGCGTGTCTGTGTGTGCGTGTCTGTGTGCATGTGTGTGTGTCTGTGTGTCCGTGAGTGTGCGTGTCTGTGTCTGTGTCTGTGCGTGTCTGTCTGTGTCTGTGTGCATGTGTGTGTGTCTGTGTCTGTGTGTCCGTGTCTGTGCGTGCGTGTGTCTGTGTCTGTCTGTCTGTGCGTGTCTGTGTCTGTCTGTGTCTGTGCGTGCGTGTGTGTCTGTGTCTGTGTGTCTGTGCGTGCATGTGCATACAGACATGAGGGGACGTACACTTCATTTCCTCACGCGCCCCGCCTGGCGCCGGTGCCACTCACCGCGAAGCAGCTCCAGCAGGCTGCCCTTGGCCATGAGCTCCGTGATGATGTACACGGGGTCCCCTGCGGACACCACGGCATACAGCGCCAGGATGTGTTTGTGCCGAAGCTTCTTCATGGCCTGGATCTCTGACTGCAGCGCCTGCTGGTGCAGGAGATTGTCTGCGGGGACAGGTGGGCTCGGTGGGTGCAGCCCCTGAACCCCCAGGCACCAAGGAAGAGGCTGAGGCCCTGCCCCCACACACAGCAGCTTCACAGGGCACGTGGACCTCCTGCCCCGGACAGGGCACCTGGCTCCTGAGGCCACGAGGATGGTGACCGCAGCCAGCCCTGTGGGCCCCCAGCCCGGTGCTCCCACGGGGCCATCATGGCCACCTGCTCTTACCACACAGCCCCCCAGACTCAGACCTCTGACGTGGAGGCCAGACCTCTGCTGAGGCCCAGGCGTTTTAGGGAAAGCCTTTCGGATTTCCAGGGATCTGTTTGAATGGCTTTCCACTACGTCAAGGACTATTAATTTTCCTTTTTTCTTCGCCCCCCCCCCCAAGATGGAGTCTCACACTGTCACCCAGGCTGGACTGCAATGGCACAATCTCAGCTCACTGCAGCCTCCACCTCCTGGGTTCAACTTATTCTCCTGCCTCAGGCTCCCAAGTAGCTGAGATCACAGGCATGCACCACCACGCCCAGCTAATTTTTTTGTATTTTTAGTAGAGACAGGGTTTCTCCATGTTGGTCAGGCTGGTCTCGATCTCCCTACCTCAGGTGATCCACCCACCTCAGCCTCCCAAAGTACTGGGATTACAGGTGTGAGTCACCGCGCCTGGACAAATGTTCTTTTATAATAACTGTATTTAGGTAAAAGCAAAGGTGCAATAGACAGGGAACTGCTGCTGCACAGAGGCTGTGGGTGGTCCCTGGGGCAGGAGGGCAGCCCAGGGCGGGCACGGGGCCAGGCAGAGCCCTGGCCAGGGCCCACTCACCTCGAGAAATCACCTTAATGGCCACCTGGACCCGGTCTTTCCAGAGCCCCTCGAAGACCTCCCCAAAGTAGCCGGAACCCAGCTTCCTGCAGAGCGTGAACTCCTCCCTCGGCCTCTCCCAGTCGTCCCAGTGGGGCAGAGGCTCAGGCTCGTGCTGGAGGGGGAGGCGGACACCCAGGGCAGGGACTCATCCTTCAGGAAGCGCCACCCAAGGCTAGCACAGGGAGCCCGGATCTGCCCTCAGATTTAGGGCCACGTTCAGCTTGGGGGCAGTTCTGAGTGTCTGGCACGAGGCGGCACTCTCCCGGGGAGCCACCTCCAGCCCAGCACAGAACGCCCACAGACGGGAGGGGCCAAGACCCGGCAGACTGCAGCAGGCCTCTCGAGAGTGGCCAGGCCCAGCGGGTAGTCTCCAGGCCCCACCCAACTCGGGCGAACACCCCCGCTCCGCAGAACCGTGGGATTCCCTCCAGTAGACCCCGGGTCAGTGAGTCAGGACCCCTCCCACGCTGCCCGGCCAACCACTCCCAGTAGGAAACACCGGCCCGAGACCGCCCAGCCTGCCTGAGCCTGCGCTACCAAGCCAGGGCGGGCAGCTACCTTCTGGCAGGGCGCGGCCAGCCGCAGGCCGTGGGACAGGCTCTGGGTCCTGTGGTAGTTCACCAGCTCGGGCAGGCTGGGGAAGGACACCGCCTCGTTCAGGTGCAGCCGGCCCCCGGCGTGCCGCCAGATCTTGTAGTGCCGCACGGCCTGCGTGTCCCGCACTGGACGGAGAGCGAGAGCCGTGTGGCCGCCCGAGCCCACCACCTCTCACACCTCCTGGGAGTTTCTGGGTCCCAACCCCTGCCCCCTCCCTTGGAAAAGCTCCCTCCTGCCCTGCAGGCTCTGGCCAAGCTCTCCGGCCCCTCCTGCCCCTGTGCCAGGCAGCCGATGGCCTCCACCTGGATGGCAGCTGCCCGAAAACCCAGCCACGCTGAGTCTTCAGGGACAGGACACCCCAGACGCAGGGTCTCGTGCTGGACAAGGTTCCCATGGGTGCCCGGGCAGGACTGGCCTGAGAAGTCCCTGCCCTCCCAGGGAGGGGCCCTGCCCCGCAACTGCCCTAGCAGCCAGCCAGGCCCCAGGGAGGATCGGCCCAGGTGGGCGGACGGCATGGGAGCTCCCTGGAAAGCAGCTCAGGTCCCCAGTCACAGCAGCGGGAGCCGGGATCCCCTCGTGGATGGGAGGGCTTAGAGCAAGGACCCCCCGCAGCAAGCGCAGGCTCGGAGGCCAGGCCGCACCCGAGAGGACGTAGTCGGCGCTCGCCTTCTCGCTGACCCTGATCAGGAAGGCGCCCTCGGCGTTGCCGGCGGCCTGCAGCCAACGCACAGCTTCCGAGCGGGAGATGCAGCCGAAGAACCACCTGCAAGGGAGGGCGGCCTGAGCCCACGGACCTGGGCCCACCCCACACGGGCCACACGTGGAGCCCCAGCCACACCTGCAGCGGAGGGCGGCCTGAGCCCACGGACCTGGGCCCACCCCACACGGGCCACACGTGGAGCCCCAGCCACACCTGCAGCGGAGGGCGGCCTGAGCCCACGGACCTGGGCCCACCCCACACGGACCCCAGCTGGGAACCCAGCCACCCTTGCCTGCCACCTCAAGCTTCCATCCCTGACCACAGCTGTCCTCAGGAGCTATCACTGACCCAGACGCCCTGAATGTCCCAAATGTCCAGGACAGGCCCCTGGGGACCCGGCAGGGGGAGTGGCAAGGGGAGGAGCAAGCTTCTACCACACCCTGCCCTGAGTGACCCCTGTCTAGGGCTCAGGGCGTCGGGTGGAGTTGGGGAGGGCCCCGGCACTGTCTGCCTGCACATACACACCCGTGATACACGCACACACACCTGTGATACACGCACACGTGCACGGAGCTGCCTGCACACACACACGCATGATACATTCACACTCCCACACATGTGGACAGGTCATCTGCACACCTGAACACACCCGTACACTCACACACGCACAGCACTCGAATGCACTAACTCCTGGCTGCAGGGTGTGGAGCTGGGGCGGCCCTGGACTGTGGACTTCCGGGTGGAGCTAGAAGAAGCTCCAGGTGTCCCATTCCCAGCCCAGTGTGTCTCCGACTCCCTCGGGCCGTGGCACACGGACCCCACACAGGAGCCCACCGCCCAGCATGGAGCCCCGGGTCCACCCGCTCCGCTTCCGCACAGCTGGCGGCACTGCCCCACTCAACCCTGCAGCCACCTGGCCGCCTTCCCACCGCTCGCATGGGCGAGTTCTCTGGGTCTCTGCACCTGGGAGCTGACCAGCCTCTAGCCAGACCCCACCCTGCACTCCTGCTCCTTAACTCGGTCGTGGGTCTGCACATGAGGGGGGTCTCCACCACGGCCCCTGCCTGGCGGCCTCTTGGCAGCCTCCTGGCTGGGGTCCCCAGGAGCTAACCCCACACAGCCTGATTCGGGCACGCACACAGTAGGTGCCCAATCCGTGATGAGAAAAGCTGCTCTCAGGAGCCCAAGCCACAGAAACCTCTCCCACCAGAGCCTCCCCAGCCTGAGCGCCGAGCGGCCGTGGAGGCCAGCCCAGGCCACGCCAGCTGCCCTCTGGTTCCTCGCAGGGCCCGGCAGGCAGGAAGCCTGCCCCGCAGCCGGCCACTCCCCTGACTAGGTGGTGTGTCTGGTTCTGGCAGTTTGGAAAATGAGCAAGCTTCATTCCCTCAAAGGCCCTGGAAACCCCCACAGAGCTTGTCACTGGCCACCGGCCTCCCGGAAATCCACCCTGGACCCTCTGTCCTCCCCAGGCCCGGGCAGAGCAGCCTCCACCACCAAGATGTGACAAGGATGAGCACAGGGCGGGGCCTGTGCCCGCTGAGCCGCAGCCACAGTCCTGTGGGCGCTCCCGGGCGCCAGCGCACGGGGCATGGAGCAAGGACCAAGCGGGATGCCCAGGCTGGACTTCAGGGAACAGGAAGACAGAACCAGGGTCCCCACCCTCCTGGGCCTCCTTGGGGCCAGCCCAGAGCCCTCACCCTGCCCCGTGCCTAGAGGGTGGCTGTGCCAAAGGTCCTGGGAGCTGGGGACACGCACGGTTCAGACTCCACCGTCTCCTTCTCGGCCAGGTAGTTGTGGGGCACGTAGCCCTGGGCCACGGCCCCACCCGCCTCGTCCAGCAGCGTGGCCCACCACCACTGCTCCTCCTTCCTGGTCACGTGGAAGATGTCCCCCGCTCGGAAGCTCAGCTCCTCGTCCGTCCGGGCCTTGAAGTCCCAGAGGCCCACGTACTTGGGGCCCAGGTGAGCCTGGTCCCGTGACACCATGGCGGGCGCCACGGCAGGACCCGGCTGTGGGCTGCTGGAGCATGGGCCTGGGCGTGGCAGGAGGCCGCCCGACAGGCATCCCGCCCCCTTCTGCATGACAGGCAGGGAGGTGACCACACCCAGCACCCACAGGTGCTCGAGAGCACCTGACCCATCTGAGGGCCCAGCCGGCCCCACGACTCCTCACACCCACGGGGCCAGGCCGCACTGCCGGCTGCACGGGACCCTTCTGGCCACTTAGCGCCCCGGCTCTGGGAACCTGCTGGGCAGGCCCACAGGACCGGCCTGAGCGCTGGAGAGGGAGGGTGGAGGACGCTCAGACGGGGCTCCTAGGGGGGGCACTCTGGGAACCAAAGGGCCCCCCACCCCCGCCCCAGGAAGGAGCGTTGCAGTCTGGGGGTAGGAAGCGGGGGCTGCAGGCACTGCCTTCCCAGCCTTAGAGCTGTAGCGGCCAGATGGGGGCTGCCTCTCTCCCCGCTTCTGGAAGCCTCCCCTCACCCAGCCCCGGACCCCAAACCTGAGCACAGGGCCCAATGCCAGGAGCTGCTGTGGGTGGACATCCTGAGAGTCGCCTCAGGGGCAGGCCCCACCCAGCAGAGGATGCAGGACCCGCCCTCGGGAAAGGAAAGAGGGAGTGGAGTCAGGGCAGCGATCACTGTGTGGGTCAGTCCCAAGGACTTCCTGGAAGAGGAGGGCCCAAGGGTTACAGGCGGTCAGGGGGTGATCCCAGGAGGCAGAGCCATGGCACCCACAGCTGAAGAAACCTACCCTGCCTTCCTCCACATGGACACCAGGGGGCGGGCAAAGACCACAAGTGCGGCCTGGGAGCGCCACAGTGCCAGGGCCCAGCGCCCACCTCCTGCCCAGGCAACCCCTCGGGCTGCAGCCTCTGCCTCCTCCTGCCCAGCCCCCACAGCCCCTGCCCCCTTTCAGCTCACGTCCCCCTCCCACCCATGCCTCAGTGAGCCCCGACGTGACTCTCACCTGCACCCCGCAGCCGCCTGTCCCTCCTTCACAGAGGCCCCTCCCCACGCACCCTCCCGCCGACCCTGCTGTGTCCACCGGGGAGCTCCGACCCAGGGACCTCGACAGGAGCGGGGCGGGGTGGGAAGGGACCAGCAGACTCTGCCGGGAGTGGTGGGGAAACCCCTCAACTCTGCATGTTTGAACTTCTATTTTTATTGCAAAGAGAAATAATGGCACCTTCTGCTCATTTGTTTTGAGATTAAGAATAATCTGGATTATTTAACAGCTTCTTAGATTTCTGGGCAGTTCAGTGCTGACCAAAGCCGGGAGGGGCAGCAGGGTGTTGGGCTGGGCCTTGTCCCTCAGGCCCCCCCAGCTCTGCCATCTTGCTGTCCACGAGCCTTGGGCCTCTGGGTCCGTGTGTGTCCAGGGGGCCCCAAGTGCCCCGAGTTCGGACCTACAGGAAGTTCCGTCTAAGCCACACCAGGAACGGCCAGAAGGCGGGCCCCTCCCCGATACCCGGGAGCACCAAACCTGTTCAGCGAGTGGCTGGCCAGATGCCTGGGAAGGCACAGGAGCCACAGACACACCGGGTCCCCTTGAGCCCAGGACCCGCTTTCTTCCCGGGTGGGCAGTGCCCATCCCAGCTCTGGACTCAGTGGCCACGGAAGGCACAGAGGATGAGGCCTTCTGTGCCGTGGGAGCCCCCAGGCTGCTGTGCCAGGGACGTGCCCAGAACCGGAAGCTCAGCTCAAGGCCTCAGTGGGCCCAGGTGACAGAGCCAGCGTCTCTCCTAGGCTCTCCCACGCCTGGGGAGCGGGCAGCTGGCCAGGGTGCCGAACTGCTCACACAGACCCTCCTGCCCACCATCTGCAGGTCCTGGCTCCCGCCGCCTCCCTCTGTGTGGCTTTGCTTACGGCCCCTGCGCTGTCCTGTTCTCTGAGCCTCCGGGGCCCTCTTCCTTCCGCGGGGCCCCTTACCTTTCCACTGGGGAGCCTCGTCCCCCAGCACCCTCCTGAGCCAGCCTGTGGACGGCAGCCATCAGAGCGTTGGCTCAGCAGGCGCAGAGCCGACCCTGACTGTAGGGGGTGCGGAACTCAGCCAGGCCTGAACTCGTCTTCAAACTTCCTGTCCCTGCAAGCCTTCTGGGCACGGCTCCCAGCCTGGGCTCCCAAAGGGTCGGGGGCAGGGTCTCCATGGACCCTAAACACAGACCCCACTGGCTCCCGTGCCTACCCACCTCCCCTCGATTTGTCACACAAAGACCAAGCCAGATGCGCGGTGAGCGAGGCCAGCCCTGCTCGTCCCTGCCCACCTCCTGCCTCGATGACCCCAGAGTATTCACACCCAGAGGCTGCCCTGAGCCAGCTGCTGTCGTTTCCAGCACAACATGGCACCTACCCCTGACCCCCAACCTCTGACCCCGCCTGACCCTGCGCAGCCAGAAGACCCCACATGCCCCAGGGCCCATCCTGAGGCCCCTGGAAATGGCCTCTGAGGGCAGCTCCCAGGCCACCAAGCCTCCCTGCCCACCCTTCCTGTGCCTGACAGAGCCCCCTGGAGCCCACCCAGGGAGATGGAACCAGCTGCTCAGGCAGCTTCTGCCAGTGCCTGCGGGGTTCTCACTGTCTGGGCACCATGATGCCCTGGGCTGGGGGCCTGGGTGCATGGAGGCCACTCCAACATGCATTTTCTAGCAGACCCCACACTCCAGCTCCTGGGTCTGGGTCTGGGGGGCTGAGCCTGTGTGTGGTATGTGTGTGTGTGCGTCTCTGGGTGGGCCAGTCCCTGCATACTGAGGGCTGCATGTGTACTGGGTTTGCGCACAGCACACCCCGTTCCTGCACTGCACGCGCCCGATGGGGGTCAACACCATGGTCTGCCGGGGAGTCCCGCACTGGCCACTTCCACAAACCCAAGCTGGGACTGGGGAGAACTGGGCCAGTGGCTCTAGACCCTGCGAGGGAGTCCAGGGGACCCGGACGACAGGTTTCAGTGACGAGACGCACTGGCTCGGGGCTTCTGAGGTTCCTCCCACCCCGACATGCTGTTTGTCTCTGCTGAGTGCAGGGGGCGTGGTCACACGGGGAAGGTCAGCCCTCCAGTCTCCGCCAGGGACACGGTCACACGGGGAAGGTCAGCCCTCCAGTCTCCGCCAGGGACACGGTCACACGGGGAAGGTCAGCCCTCCAGTCTCCGCCAGGGACACGGTCACACGGGGAAGGTCAGCCCTCCACTCTGCGCCAGGGACACGGTCACACCACACAGACAACACGGCCCCCTCCACTGTCTGCTCACGTCCGCCTGGTGCACAAACATGTGTGCCCACCAGTGCCTGAGGCCCACAGCCAGAGGCTCCTCGGTCTGGCTGGCCCCAGCAGGCCTGCGTTGACACTCCACGGGGAGAAGGGACCAGCCTGGCTGGAGCCCAGAGCCCTGGGTCACGTGAGGACTCGGGAGAAGCCTCCGTGGATGGCGTGCAGCTTCTCCCGCAGCATGGCAAAGGTGGGCCGCTCCTCGGGGCTGCCCCTCCAGCACTCCAGCATGAGCACGTAGACCTCCGCTGGGCAGGTGGCCGGGCGCGGCAGCCGGTACCCTCTCGTGATCTGCTGCAGCGTCTCGTGGTTGGTCATTCCTGGGAGGCACGGGGCAGGAGCTGCTCGGTTCTGCCTGGGGGTCCCTATGGAGGGCTCCCTCAGCCCCCCGTATCACCTGCCTGCCCTTGGCCAGACACTTCAACCCGGAGCCGACAGCATCCAGGACCCAGGGCCAGTGACTCCCGGGCAGAGCCCGCCTCCTCCCTCTGGCTGCTAGAGATGTACCTTCGTAGGGACACTGGCCATAGGTGAAAACCTCGTACAGCAGGACCCCGAAGGACCAGACGTCCGACTTCTGGGAGAAGACACGATAATTGGCCGCCTCGGGCGCCGTCCACTTGACCGGGATCTTGGAGCCGCTGCTCGGGGAGTAGATGTCGTCCTGGGGGCGAGGGAAGGCCCCAGGTGGGGCAGGTGGGCCGGTGCCCCTCACCCATCCCCTCCAGCCGTCAGGGGCCTAGAGCCCCGCTGACCTTGAGCAGCCGGGCCAGGCCAAAGTCGGCCACCTTGCAGGCCAGGCCATCGCCCACGAGCACGTTCCTGGCAGCCAGGTCCCGGTGCACGATGCGTCGCTCCTCCAGGTAGCTCATGCCCTCGGCCACCTGGCAGGCAAAGCCCAGCAGAGGTGGCAGACGCAGGGCCCGGCCTTCAGGGCCTGCAGGAGACAGTGCGGGGCCTTATGGGGCCCAGGGCCAAAGGTGGGAGAAGCCGGCCTCCACCGGCGTCTCCTCCCCCACACCTGAGCCTCCTCACCCCTGAGACGTGGTGAGGACCGCACGGCCTGCTGAGGCCGCAGGAAGCCCTGAGCGAGGCGGGGGAGGGTCCTGTACTCACCGCACTGACCTGGCCACTGGCCCAGGCCCCTAATAAAGACCCAGGTGGAGAAGTGCCAGAGGCGGGGCTGGGTCCACATCACGTGAGACCAAGGCTGGTGACCAGACAGGACCGCATCCCCTGCCCTTGAACTCCAGCCCCAGCCCCGGAACCAAAAAGCTCTGGACTGGCCCAGCCCCATGCTGGCTGGAGGCCAGGACAGGGATGGGGTCTGCAGCCCGGGTCCCCTGCTCCCAGGAGACGCTGGTTCACCCCAGAAACCCCCGCAGGCTCAGCTCTGCACCGGAAGGGAAGGGGTGGTGGCAGGCGCACCAGGGCCCGGGGTTGGCAGGGCGGGGACTCACTGCCCAGGTAGACCCGCAGGTTTCCCTTGCACATGAGCTCCGTGACGATGTACACGGGGTCCCCGGCCGAGCACACCGCATGCAGCCGGATGAGCCGCTCGTGCCGCAGACCCTTCAGCGTCTGGATCTCCTTGGCGAGGTCTGTGAGCTTCATGTCGGCTGCGGGAGAGGGCACGGATCCAGGTCTGGCCCACACCACGGACGTCACTGCCCCGGGGTCGAGGGTTGGGCAGCAGGCGCAGGGCCCAGCCGTGGCTCGGGATCTCGGGCCTCACCTGACTTGATGACCTTGATTGCCACGGGCAGGGAGCCCAGCCACAGGCCTTCCCACACCTCCCCAAAGTAGCCTTCACCCAGCTTCCTCCGAAGGGCAAATTCAGAGTGTGGCCGCTCCCACGCATCTTGCTGCACAGGCTTCTGCAGGGAGGGGAGCTCAGTGCCCTGCCCACTTCCTCCAGGGAGGCCGGGCAGGGAGTCTGGGCAGGGAGGCCAGGCGCGGAGGCCAGGCAGGGAGGCTGGGCGGCGTGGGCCCCTGTGCTGTGTCCCAGGCAGAGCCCCTGCACCAGGCCTGG